CCATCGAGAGCGAACATCAAAAGCTAATAAGCTCGGTTTTGTTGCTGTCTGAGGCGGTTTTGTAGTTTTATGGGTAGTCGTCACATGAGTAACTTCAAAATAGTTAGCATAGTAGTTAGCTGGAAGCAGGGGAACGAGAAGAGAGACTGGCATGTACCTGAATAATTTACTTGCTGGGAAGTTTTTCTGAACAAAGAAACAATTGAACGCTTCCAAGTCGTCCCTTGTCTCCTACCTTATAAATATTCGATGAATGAATTGTTTTTTCAAGTTATACCAATCGGAATATATTCGTCATCGAGGGGGCAGTCGAGTTCCCATTAATAAGTGGAGAATCGCTGAAGGGAATTCATAAACGTCCTTTGCAGGTATGAGTCGAGAGGCAACAAAACGCTATGAGACCATCAAGCATTTGGGTGAAGGACAGGTTTGTGGGATTTTGCCGTGCTATTTGATCTCATCGATCGGAGGGCCGATCGATTCTTTTTATTCCGGGGGTGGGCGGATGGAGGATGGTGGAGAAAAGGGTCTTTCCACATGTATCTGGACATTGCATTCTCACCTCCTACCTCATGAAAATTTATCCAGTAATGACTATGGTTTCCATGAGATCTCGTTAGGTTGTGTTACTCATAATTGTTGTTATTCTCACGTGGGAAGAAAAGCATTTGCTGAATTTCACTCAGGCACAGTGAGCCACAGCGCATTCCTTTCTCAGCGTCTCAAACATATCAACAGGATCGAAGTGGTCCAAGTTGAGATTACTTACTTTTTGTGATTCCAGTTCGCCAACGTTTACAAAGCGAAGGACAAGGAGACGGGTGATTTCGTTGCGATCAAGAAGGTGAGCGGATGCTTAACCCATTCCGTACGGCGGCGTTTTCGCAAAAACCGGCGCCTGTGGCCGACGCCCTTTTATCGACGCGACTCGTGGCGCGCCGAGTATAAACAAATGTGATTTAAATCATATACATATGCTATAAAATATTGTATACACTTCGCATTATACATTACTTTTATATGCATCAGTATGATAAGTAAAATTGAATACTATTACGTGTTAAAAAAGATAGCCGAAAAAATGCAGCAGTTGCTAAAAATGTTTATAAAATCAAGAAGGGTTGGAAATGGAGCGCAAGACGTTTACAGATTGTTCAGTCATTCTATTTTGCGATCTTTTAGTCCAGTCACAATCCTTAGTTTTGGCTTTACTGGTTACAATGAAATAAGCAAAGGATATAGTAACTGGAAGAATTCCCTGAAAAATGTCGATAACTTAGCTCCACCTGGATCCCACAATTTTCCCTACTTGTGTCTTTTTCCAAAAGGCTTCAGAAATATACCGACCCACTTGGGTCATGGAACAATGCTAAATAAGTTTAAACGAAGCGTGCTGCACCATGTGCAGCACGCGGCCATACAGAGACAAACGGGCCTGCAGCACGCGGTACGCAATGAATTAACAGTTGGAGTAGCCTTTTAATGGCCTTACTCTTAGACATACAGTCCTGTTGGGCATGTCAAGCTGGGGGAGGGGGGGGGAATGGTGGAGTAAGTTTGGCGCGGCTCCAGCCAGTTTTCACCAAAAAAAACGGGCTGGCGCTGCGCTACACCCAGCTCTCCCTGATACGGCCCAGCAATCACAGCGACCAAAGCTGGAGTGTGCAGAAAACAGCCTTTAAAAATTAGGTTCTATGGATGGAGCTTATGATTCCTATTGAGAGTTTCGACTGTTAAGTTTTCAAAAGACGTCGTGTTGTGTTCAAAGGCGCATTCTGCTCTGGTTATATGGGCGGAGTTCTTCAGACAGAGCTTCCATCCGATTGATCAGCTGTCTTCAAAGAAGGCTAATTGTAAGAGGAGGAGCGCACCATAGCGCTATGCCTTCAAATCTTGATGAGGTCGAAAAGGTGGTTGTCTACTGCTAAGACTAGCAGATTGCATTCTGCTGTTTAAGACGTAAAAGATGGTACAATTTTGAAATTCTTTTGAAATTAGACCATTTTTGCTTGCGTTGAATCCATGATCATGACCTAGGGCGATTTGAAGGTCTCAGATAGCGAATATAAGGGCTTGATGCTCATCTCTCCTCGGTTGAGAGGAACAGATCATTTCTGCTCGGTCCAGTGCACCCATACGTTCACATCTGAACATGGGTGGTGCACCTCTGTTCATGGCGAATTAGTATGTCCTTTCATCTCCCCTTAGGCCAGACTAACGGTGTCAACTGTAGTAGATGGAGGAAACTTCTGTCTTCTAGCCCTTGTGTCACTGAGACGAGACTGTGCCTCCACAAAAATGCCATTATTTCAGATCAAACTGGGTTCAAGGGCCGAGGCTAAGGACGGCATCAACAGAACGGCGCTCCGTGAAATCAAGCTCTTACAGGAGATCCATCACGATAACATAATAGGGGTAAGTTCTGTGCAGGTTACGATGATTGAGTGCGAGGTTTGAAATTCGCAAGGCGGTACTACCAAGGATTTGAATCGCCATACGTTTTCATGACGGATTTTGGTGCGGCAATTCAGATCAAGGCTAAAATTTTTTAACATAAATGTAGTGTTCTGATAGAGTAGAATTTTAATTGTACTTAAAAGACGAGCACGTTTTGCAAGAAGGACCAAATCGAAAAAAATAAGGGGGAGAGAATGAAAATATTGGACACAGGTGTAACACAAGATCGTTACCTGTTATGAATTGACGGATAACATGTCTTTTCACATTTATGACAAGGAAGAATATGAATAAAGAAAAAATATAAAATATTATTCAGCACGTTCAAAAAGGCTGGGAAGCAAACGAATAGGGCCGACCCTGTGGAATCCACAGAATAAATTCGTAGT